GATAAAACATGTCACAGCTTTATGTCATTCAGTTTCCTGTTCATCTGCCCCCCTTTCTCACCCCCACCGCCCACGTCTTTTTTTCCCTCTGTTTTCAGGTTGCATTTACCACAAGAATCTACCACCCAAATATCAACAGCAACGGAAGCATTTGTCTTGACATCCTGCGATCACAGTGGTCTCCAGCTCTCACCATCTCCAAAGGTAGGCCGACTGGCCTTCAGACTCTGAAGTGTAACACTGCACATACGGTTACAGATAAATGGCAGATGCTACTGCCTTTATAAACAGCGTGTTAAGAGTGAAGGCAAAGAGGAAGCATGTCAGTTTCCTATTTAATGAAAATGCTTCCCACAAATAATATATTGCCCCATTCCTCTCACAAAAGTCCTTGTGTGTCACTCGAGTACTGTCTCTGTAAATGTCAGCTTCAGCTCTTTTCATCAGTGATGGTTAGTACTAGACCGGCTTATAAATGGTGTGCCTCATGCACAAGTGTTGTTTTTTTCTAAGATTGCTGTCACATGTATTATCAGAGTTTAACATTTTTATAGTCGTGACAAATACACTACCTCGCTTCATTCTGAGGGTCATTTGAAGGAAAATGACAAAAATTCTGAAAATTTTATTTGTGAATTCTTGCTGGTTAACCTTTGCACTGTCCATTCCAGTCCTCCTGTCCATCTGCTCTCTGCTGTGCGACCCAAACCCGGATGACCCCTTAGTACCCGAGATCGCCCGCATCTACAAGACGGACAGGGAAAAGTAAGTGTTTTGCTTCATGTTTTGTGCATCATTTGGGTATAGTTTTTTTTTTCTATGCTTTTTGTCTCTTGCCAGCATTAAACATGATGCTATGGGTTACCAGCCTTCATTTTTTTTTTAAATAATCTACAACCCAAGCCAATCATATGTCAAGTCTCCTCTGGCCTGGGTGGAGCTGTGCTAAAACCTGTTAATGTTAGAAACTGACTATTGATGAGCAGAAGCTCCATCCTAACAATGATTATGTAAGGATTGCTGCCAGCACGGTGGAAACAGTGCAGAAATAATAAGAAATGTAACTAATATGTGAAAGACAAAGCAATTGAACAACGTGGCTGTAGTTTGTGTCATCATGTGTCTGCAGAACACAATTAAGACTGATGGTCAGTCACCTACGTTTTTCAATTAAACAATGAAAAAGCTAGAGTCAAATGAGCCTTGTTGCATGTCAGGACAGGAATGACAGATTCATTTATGTGACTTTGCTTTACTAATATACCAATCACTCCACCAATTTCTCACTGTTCAAAAGTAATGGCCTTTAAAAGTTTTATAACATTTTATTACATTCATCCCCTGAATTTAGTAATGTGTCCATCTGACCTTCACTATTCTAGTTTTCCTCTGCCTGCTGCTCTGAAAGGAATAATATTGCAAACACACAATTTTACATCTTTCAGACAAATGTCTAACCAGATTATGTTGTATTTGGTGTCACTAATCCATGTGGGCTTATGAATATAATGCAACTGCACAATTGTTACAGTTAGTCACACTTCATTAGGTTGTTTGTCATTTTAAAAAGTGGAAAGATTTTTTTCAAAAAAAAAATGCAGAAAACTTTGGCATCAAACATAGTAAAATACACATATCAGCCTAAATCAGCAGTGTGCCATTACAGAGACTATAAAGACGGAAGTGTCTCGTACATCATAGCAGTCAGCTGGTGTTTTCCGTACAGTATCTGTTATCTGTCTACTTTAGTGACTCGCTGTCAATACACACTTGCCAGTCAGGAATTTTTTGTCATTTGTTTTCTTTATATACCTATAGAAAATGAAAATATAATGTACCCTTGGAAAAACTAATAATCGGAAAATGTGGTATGTCTTCTCCTATAGAGATGCTGTATTTACATACTTCATAATAGTGAGTTAGGTTTGGCATCCAGAATGGTTTTTACAGCAATTTATTTTCACTGTTTCCTCTGCTTCATGATGATTTTCTGCTCCTGGGACATGATGATGAGAAATATGGCTGAAATCCAAAAAGTATTAGATGTGTTGCTCACATATGTAATTTGGTATCTCCTGATATGATGTATCATGCATGTAACAACAAGCTTAATAAACAATCAGGACAGTGGATGTTGGCTATTATTTTGGTATTGCCATATCTGACTAAAGCAGCGTGGTTCTTCCTGTCACTGATTGACCAGCAGCAGTGATTTCTGGCAGTTGCTGCAGTGGCAACAGGAAATAAAAAATAACCTGCTGAAAAATGTGTGCTCCTGTAGAGCCACCAGTCAGCTGGTCTCTCTGCTGTTGTCAGGGTAGCAGCAAAACCTATGATGTACATATAGAAAGTAATGTAAGTGACAGTGTTTCAACTTTCCTAATGATATGTAAGTCTTCACAAGGCTAAACATCTAACAATCCCCTTTCTGTCTGTCTCTGCTTGTTCACAGGTACAACAAAATAGCTCGGGAATGGACACAAAAGTATGCAATGTAGTGTTGGAGTAGAATCATGGCCAACCACCTCTACGACATAAGGTTAGGGGAGCTTCAGACGTAAAGAGAAAACAAACAAAAAACCATACAAACAAATGAAAAGTTTAAAACAAGATCTTGTTGGTTTCCATTGGAGTGCTTTCTTTGAGCCACGCCTCCCCTTCACCAGAGTACCTGTAAAACTCCCTCTGCCCCAACTCCCCACTTTGTCTCTCTCTCTCCTTCCTCTCTCTCTCTGTTTGACTCTTCCTCCTCTTCCCCTCCTGCCTCTCAGCTCACCTGCCCCCACCTTCCAGTGTACATATTGTCAACTTGCAATGGTAACACCTGTCTCCCCTACTCCTTTTTCACCTCCTCCCTCCCTTGTGACCTCTGACCCCATCTCCTGACTTCTGTATACCATTACATTTGTCACCATGCAGGTTGGACTGTTGTGCCACCCCCCAAACCCCTCCTTTTTCCTACATGCCTGCATCCTCACCCATCCTCCCAAGACGTTAATCACTAAAATCATTCCTTTGAACATCTGTAAAACTTTGAGGGGACCTTTTTATTTCCCTATTTTTTTCCTTCAGGGGGGAGGGGGACAATAATATGGAGGGATTTTTACACTCTGCACCCTTTCTTGTTTTGTTGTCCTTATATTCTCATCTGTTGAGGTGACAATTCAAGAAAGCAGTTTTCGCACGCGAGTCGAAGGGCACTCTGTATTTTATACAATAAATAAAAAAAATCATTGCAGGCTATGTAAAATGGCCTATTTTGGTCTTTGTTTGATTCTATGAAAGGACTTGAATTTATCCCCACACCTCCTGCTCCTCACCCCCTCCTTCCCTCCCAAACCACCTTACCCAAGTTGACCCCTTTGTACACACATAAACACACATGCACGCACAACTGTAACCCCATGTCACCCCCACCACTACCACCACGTTTTCTTTATTCACAAAGTGGAGGTTCTGGACCAGGTATTTAAGCAATTTGTTTTTCTTAGTTTAACCTGTGTTTTTATTCCCCATCCCCATAACTCTTTAGGTTGCTTTTTTTTTTTTTTCTTTTTTTTCTTTTCTTCTTTTTTTTTGTTTTTTGTTTTTTGTTTTTTTGTTTTTTGCTATTGTTGATTAGAAGCTAACATCTTAAATGGCTATGGGACTGGCTTGGGCTCTGGGTGCGAGGAGAACCCACTCTTCTTGCACAAAACCTCTGTATATTGAATTACCTGAGAGGCTCGTTGAGCTTTGTGTGTTGATTAAACTGTGTAATAAAAACCCATGACTCCTGTGTAGACTCATTTTCAGGCCCAGTTAAAGGACGCACAGAGGTAAGAAAGGAACGTGAAGCCAGGTCACATTTGTGACCCAGTTCTACAGAAATTTGACAGGATGAATAATACCTGCATAACCATATGGACTCACTGTTATATGATAGATAGATAAATTGTTAATAACAAATTGATTGTGGGTATTTGGGAATATCTGATTAATGAGTAATACTTCACTAAAATTTAAATGGTTTTTAAACTGTTCAGATGTTGTGGGAGATGTAGTTCCACATGTTGACTGTTGGCTGCCAGTCCTCCTTTGAGTGAAACAAAACATAAAATGAGTGTAAACGAACACATTCACGGAATATTTTAACTAATTGCATTAGTATATTATTGCTATAACCATTATCTTCAGTCATGACACTTAATAATCCACTCATGTATACATATATACTTTTTAATTTTGGTGGTAGGTAGGTTTTGTCGCCCCTTGGCGGTGCTTTTACATAAAAACGAGTGCATTAAACATCCACTAATGCCGATTCTGTGTTCATGCATTAACAATTAACTCTAAAGGGACACATCCATATTTTCTACTAAATAGATTCAGCAAATTAAATGTGAAAATGGTTGTTTGGGGTCATTATCGCATTTACTACTCATTAACTCCTACTTACATGTACTCCTCTTGAAAGGAAATGGAACTCACCAAAGCCTGAATATATCAAGATGATTCTCCTCCAGTGGAAACCTTTGGCTCAATCCGTCGTGCCCGAGTGTTTAATGTGTCATTTAACATCTTAATTGACAAGATAACGAAGCAGTTTACAAATGTAACATAAGACATTTAATTGGAGCTTCGGTTGTTCATATCTCCACACTCTTTATTGGGACATGTACTTTCGTTGATACAATTGTCTTCCCTCAAAGCCTCAATAGCTACCAACTGAGTAAAGCAAAGAGCTTTCACTGATGGAGACTGAAGTGTTATTGTAAGGTCCGGAAAAAAAGTTAAGTGTACTCGATTCCACATGGACAGGGGGTATCATAAAGGTTATTGTGAAACAAAGAAAATTCGCGAATGTAACCTGAGAGTGTCTTCGCAGTTAGGTCTTTATACAACGCTGAAGCGAAGCCGGAAGTTTGCTGGAGGCTCGGGCTGAAAGCCTCTTGGTCTGGTAGAACGTCCCTGTCCCTCCTCAGGCTCTCATTGGTTCCTGCACAGTGACGTAGAGATCGAGCACGGTGCAGCTATCGGACAGAGTTCAGATAAGACTCCCCGGTTGACCTTGCTTTCGAGAGCTGACCAGAAACAACACACAGTCCAGGGACAACATGACAACCTCGAGTTTATCGGCTATGCCGCAGCTACCAATGCCTCCGCTGCCCACATTACCCAGCTCGGGATTTAGGTTATCGAAAGGTAAAGTATTTAAGCTAGCTAATCACATGCTAGCATTAAATGCATGTTTTCGTTTCGCCGCTCAGCGCAAACTTAACGTCTGCGACCTAACGCTACCCAAGCCAAGAAACCACATTTGTTGTATTGCATGGTTATATGGAGGCAACGTCTTTTGAATGTAATGCACAGATCTCCACATGATAGATAAATTATTTTCTAAAGTTAGTTTCCTTTTCTCTGCATTGTCAATAGCCGTTCCTTAGCTGGCCAACAGCCATGTAGCTAGCTAACTGACCACTCAGCCAAGCTGGGATCGGCCACAGGTTATGTTTCCAACTTTAGACAGTCACTCAGATAGTTTTGGCGACTCAGCTCAAGCCGTGTTTGGAGGCAATCCCACCATCTTCAGTATGTATCTGTGAGGGCCTCTTGCCGCTCTGGTGAAGCAGCTAATCGCTGAACTTTCTGCTCCAGACTAGGGCCCCTGTTCTTCTTGTCCTACGACTCAACGTCATGTGATGCTCAGTGAACATGGATAATCCTCCTCATAGCCTCGCTAAAATTTCAATAGGCAATTTCATAGGTCCTGTTAGAAAAGTAAAACCATTGTACGTACCTCTCAAGCTGTTAGTTTTCTGTGCATCTAACAGACAGGCCCCTGTTCACGAGAAATCCTCCATCATCATCATCCCCCTTATGATGCATCATGGTGAAGCTGTAGGAAGAGAGGTTTATTTTGGGTCCTGGGTGTCAAACCTTTCTCTCATCTAGACAAAACTATGAGAGATCAAATACCTTATAAAATTTTTGTTATTGCACAGCTGGTGAAAGGTGAAAACGGGATTCAATTAATATTTTTTTGCATCACTAAAGTGTAAAACTGTTTATATCATAAACTGATGCTATGTATGGCTGTGCAAGGATTAATTATTTTTATTTACTTTGAAGAATATAAATAAACTGACCAGTTTGTTAGGTGAACCTGTACAATCTGTTGCAATCCAATCAGAAAGGTGTTGTCTCTACTGGGGTCATTTTGGAGGACGTAGTAAGTTGTACCGTATGATTTTGTTGCCTTTTATATTGAAAGGTGTAGCTCATTTGGTCCACCATCATCCATATTTGAGTACACAAGTAACCACTAGCTCTAACATCTTTCACAAGAGATGATGAGACAGATGTTCTCTTTTGTAAAATCACCTTTCTGTATCTGTATGCTCACCATGACTGTGTTTTCTACAGAGCATTTGGTCGTTGCGGTGCCGGTCGCAGTGGTTGCAGCTGTCGGAGGCTTCCTAGTCAGCCATTACCTGAGCAGGTGGAGCTGTAAAAAGGGCCTGGTGAACACGTCCATCAGCAAAGACAGCCCCAAAGTGGTCCACAGCTTTGACATGGAGGACATCGGTACCAAGGCTGTGTACTGCCGCTGCTGGAAGTCCAAGAAGGTCAGGCCTTGTCAGTTTGTTCAGAGCCACTGATATCTTAGCTTGGTGTTTGAGGAAGAGTTTTGGACTTTCTAAGCCAGCTAAGCGATTTATAAGGGTCCAAAATTCCCCTAACTTTCCTCGATTAAAAGTCCTTGTGCTGTTTGTGGGGTCAGACTTTGACATGTCATACTGGTGGGCACATCCCAGTCAGTGATATCACAGCTAGGTGTTTGACAGACCTCATACTGAAATGTATTCCAACAGTACTACAATTCTTAAGTTGTTTAACTATGATAATTTGAATGCTTTGATAATTTATAACCATTAGGGATTGGGGTGCTGAGTGGAGCAGATTTTTTATTTTATTTTATTATGATCATAGAGATAAAATTGATTCTCAGTCACCAGTGCTAAATTTGAATAGTAGATTTCTGCCACGGTGTAGAACTCAAAATACTACTTCTTATACACTGCTTCTCAGATGCTTTGGTGCCATGATTTTCTGCTCAGGACGCGTTCGTTCGCTAGTGTCCTACATTATCGTAGCAAACAACATATCAATACCAGCTGCTTAGTTTACTGGCAGGTCAGCAGGGCACGCCATAGGTCAAGCTGCTGGTGACGTTTTAGAGTGCCCTCTGCTGGATCACAAGGCAAAATACTTACACTTTTGTGCTATAAATTCTCAATAAGAACAGTTCATTCCAGTTCAAATACTAAGTTTTTCCACATTCAAATGACTGTTTGAGTTTCGAATAGAAAGTGACAGTCCCAGTCCTAAGGACTTAAAGTTGATAAGAGTGAGTTTTGTTTTCCTCTAACGTTGTGTGCTCTCCCTGCAGTTCCCTTACTGTGACGGAGCCCACACCAAACACAACGAGGAGACCGGGGACAACGTTGGACCGCTCATCATCAAGAAGAAGGATGCTTAAGCCAACCAATCACAGATCTCCACCCTCTCTTGACTTCTCATGCAGCCGCCCCCAGGTTATACAATTGTTTACCATCATCATTAACAGTATCGCACTAATGGTTATGGTACAACACTGCTACAATCAAACAGTGGATATTCTTTGTAGCCCAGAATAGAGACCCAGAAAGTGCTGAAAATATTCAAAATTTTGATTCTTGACCTTCCACACTGCATTAGACAACATGACTTTGAAATCAAAAGTCATTTGAGGAGAGATAAGGAAAGCACTTTGACAACCAGCACAGTAAGACATGGAGGTATTGTTCCTGTGCAGTTGAATTTTGACGTATTTTACCTGAAGGATTTGATCAATATTCTCATCACACCTGAAATATTTCACTGTGTGGGCATTGTGTCGTCATGTCTGGTGTCACCTGTGTCCCCTTCCTTCTTGACTCCGCCAGGTGTGGAGCAGGTGGTTGAATCATGTAATGAACTGGCAGCTCTTTGCCTCAGTCAGTATTTCATTGGAATTCAGTGCAGGCCTTATATTCAAATCTACAGACCAGAGTCTGAACACACACAACCCACATGAATGTTACATGCTTTGATTTTTGCACAAAGAGCTGCTTAATCAGAGGAAACAGAAGTTTAGTTTGTCTTAAATTAAATAATAATCTCCAATCTTGAGAGCTGTTGAAACACTATCTGCTGTTTGTAATCACTTACCGTCTGCTTTCTGGGGAAACTGTTGTATTTAATCTGTAAAGTGTTCAAGGGTGAAAACTCTGCTTATAAAGGATATATTTTGCCTTGTCATCAGATTTATTTTCTACTGGCTGCGGTGTGTCTGACTTGATGAATCATTGTTCTGTATACTGTGAATAAAACTTGTTGAGTGATCTGATTTCTAAGCTTCCCTTATTTATTTTAGGGAGTGTTTCTTGCTACTGACCACAGGGGCCAAACTCTACGTTTGTTTGTTTTTAACCACAGGATCAAATGCACTTCATTTAACCGCTTCACCTTTTAGCAGAGAGGCAGAGCAGTGTGTTTATGGATTAACAGTGGACAGGGATAATAAGTAAACAGGGCCGTGTGGTGCCTGCAGTGGGATCAGTGTGTGTGTGTGTGTGTGTGTGTGTGTGTGTGTGTGTGTGTGTTAGGCCTGGGCTGGGGGTGAGGGGGGCTGCGTGCTGCAGTGTCCACCAACACCAGTGGCCATTTTAAGATGCGGCAGTATTTGTGGTGACCACTAGAAGACGCTGTGTTTGCACGGATAGTCCAGGCCAGACGGTGTACGCGAGTACGGTGGGCCCCTGCTCCCATAGTGACACGCGCACGCACGCACACACACATAGTCAGACACGCACGAGGTATCTGGCTGCGTGCCAGATGCAACGGAGGACTCTCATAAGAGGTGGAGTGGACTCGACCATCCCCGTGTGAGGAGTCACCTTTAACAGACAGCTCAACAGTGTGTTCACACACAGGGACAATGTCTCTGCTGCGTGGACAATATTTACGTTGTACGTGCTTTAAAACCAGAGGAGCCTCAGCGTGGAGGCAGCACATGATAAACAGGCTAACATGCTCTGACTGCTAACTGACTCAGCCACTGTGTTTTGCCAAATGGTGAAAATGTTTTTTTTTTTCATTCTATAGTTATTTATTATTTTTTCTCTCTTTTATTCTTAAGCGTGGGCAACTTCGTAATGTGACACTGAAACCCACCTACTGAGTTTAGCCTCCATTACCTGTGAATGATAGGATCCACAAGTAATGGAGAGGACACAGTGGAGATAAAACTGATCATTCAGAATATAAATAATTAAAATTTTCCTTCAGACACCTTATCCCCAAGAGTTATGTTTGTGTTTATTTTCCTGTTGTAATCTTTTTTCTGTAATGCTAAACGTCGATATAAGCTGTCCAGAGCCCTCTGCTTAAATCTGATAAATTCACATCATACACGGTTGTATTGTAAACATTCACATCTTCTCTTTTAATATTGTTGTTAATTAAAAATTACAGATGTTTAATTCTACATCTGCTTTACCACAGTCTAGAGCCCACTTTGTTATCACAAGTTTATATATGAAAGAATAGGGATACCTGACATAGGTCTCAATCCCAATGTATTGATAGGAGGCGTACTATGCATTGCTGTAACATTAGATTTCTGTAATTTATAATGAATGATGATTTCCTCATTAAACTAACAAAAAACACTATAGCATATATTAGCATGTAATAATTCGTGTATTCGTCAACAGGGGGGTAATCAATGGACCAGTTGAAATTTTGATATTTTTATCTCAATAATTTTTTTTTAAAGAAATAGTTATTAGTTTTGTTGATAAATACGTATGATATGTCTGACATGTATCATAAAGGGGGGGGACTTGGTGTTTCATGGTCATTATTTCCATCTAACGCCCATGTTCAACGACACACTGAGTGTATGGGACGAGTCGAGCAGAGGGATATTTAATGTTGGGTTTAATTGGTTATAATACAGTATTCATAGTGACAGCTGTCGGTGTGTGTCGAGCTCTTCCTGTGCATATTATGGGGTCGCTCTGACCACGGTCTCGGCTGCAGAGTCCACTTCGCATTTTGAGCGACGCCCCCAAATTCCGTGCAGAGTGTTTGCAGACCCTCCGGGACGGAGAGGTGGAGGAGGAATCGGCAGCTCCACCGTCCATATACACTACAATCACCACGCCATTAGTTCATGACTTCATCATATCTTTGACAGGAGAGTTTGGACCGTATTTAGAAGGTAAGTGTAGACGTTTTGCCAACACTTCCGGTAGATTTTCGCTGTTTTTGTTTTGTCGCCTTTTCCTGCGCGCAGCGCCGTGTCGCAGCGACCACTCGGACTGTGGTCAGCTCGCCGTGGCGTCGGTCGAGCACCGTCTTCTTAGGTAACGTTAATTACGGTGAAATGATCGATCGGGCTCCACGATCGACCCATCTTAGGGTTTACACAGTTGTCCTGTAATATCATATATGTCCCGAGTTTAATCAGTGGAATAGTTTTTCTACAAATGTAGTCACGGAATATAGCCTGGTCTTTTTTTATCCACAGCAACCGCATCGTTGCGCACCTCGCTCCTCGTCGTCGATACCAGACAAAAGACAGCCTGTTTTTTGCGGTCCCCTGTTTAGTCTTTCTCTGTTGAGCTTAAGCTTTGGCTGGCACACATAACAGCAGTCGTCAAAATGTATTTGAAAAGCGCGCTCCACATTTGACCTGCGCATATGCGCATATCTTTGCATATTGTTGTCGCTCTGTTATTGATTGCATTGATATACCGTGAAATTCTTAAAGGGATACTGCCTCCTGTATGCGGAAATCACTGGCAAGGCATGCACTGTGTCTGATAGATGGCTCTGTCCACCTCTTTTCAAGCACTTTGATTTCTAAATCTCTATACATTTATGTTATATTTGTTTAAAACACAGAATCTCTATACTCTGATACTCTGACACTGTGTGTAGTGTCTGTGGCTGAGAAATATCCTCCAGTCTTATCTCCTCTGTTTACTCTCTTTCAGTATTCGTCTCTCCAACATTTCTATTCTTAACCTTCCTCTCTTCATCCCCTATTCATTTCTAGCTCTCCAGGACTCTGAGGCTGCTGCAGAGAATGGGAATAGGGACACAGGCCAAGGCTTGCCATTTTGGCTGAAGTAACAGCAGGACGGTTGTCAACCCCGCATCGGCGTCAATCCCCTTCTCCCTCACCTCTCCTCCCACACACACTCACACAAGGACAGACACCCCCACACACAGCCACTGCTATGTCCACCGCCGTAGACATCGCTGGCCCTTCCTCCCCAGACCAGGCCCACAGCAGCGCTAAAATCCCCAATGAGCCACTCAGACCCAGCCTTAAGCGCTCCAGCCACCCCTACAGCCTCTCCCATTACATCTCCACCCCTTCCCCGGCTGTGGACGTCAAAGGCCTGATCCAGCCCTCCCCAGCCCAGCAGCGGGCCGCCCAGCCTGCACACACTAAGCCCCGCCGGGCCCCCTCCTGGCCCGACATGTGGGAGTCGCCCAGCGGGCTCCACCTGGCCCATGCTGCAGAGCTGCTGATGCGCGCTGGGCTTCTGGCTCTGACACCCGCCACCACAGAGCAGGCCAGCCTGGGTGCACAGAGTAGCCAGCCAGCTAAAAGGGAGGCTGCAGAGGCAAAGGGGGGGAAGGGGGACGGAGAAGGAGGTGCGTCTGGACCTGAGGAGGAGGAAGAGGACTCCTCTGGATGTGGCACTGACTTCCAACCCTTCCTGGGTGCCTGGTTCCCCTTCAGCCCCGCTCTGTTCCCCCTGGCAGGTTTCCAGATGGGGGGAGGCCACTGGAGAAGTGCAGCCATGGGAGCTGAGGGCATCGAGGGGCTGGTGGCCGAGGGCTACTCTCCTGGCTCTCTGGGCGCGGGCAACGGAGGCAGGAGGAAGAGGAAGAGGTGCGGGGAGTGTGTACCTTGTCGGCGTCAGACGAACTGCGAACAGTGCAGCAGCTGCCGCAATCGCAAGAGGGGACACCAGATCTGTAAATACAGGAAGTGCGAGGAGCTGAAGAGGAAGCCAGGAGGCCCGGGGTTTGAGAGCAGAGTGTCTGGGTTTGATCTAAGGGGGTCCGACTTTACTTTGGGTCTGGCACAGGAGCGAAGCAACGGAGCCTTGGACGGATAGTAATGCTTGTGGTGGCAGCATTTGTCAGAGGATCCTGGTTGGATGATTGTTGAGCTGCAGTTTAATAAAAACACACGGGACACAATGTTAACACGCTCGGACTGTGGTTCAAAGATCTTCAGATCTTGTGTTTAGTGAGAAGCTGCAGCTCTGTTTAAGAATGTCCACGCTCGTTCCCATCCTTCCTTTTGACAATCAGTGAAATGGAGAGGAGAGAAAGAAGGATACCAATGTGTGTCAATATTTAGATGATGACAAAAATGCTGTAAATAGCCTGTAAATATCTGGAAAACATTATGTCTTTTTTACATCCCTTTCCAGTTTGGATGTGTTGTGTTTCAACATTTAAAAAAAAAAGGAGCCAAATGTTTTGTTTCTAATGGGGAGTTTTGATTCTGTTGTTCTGACGTCACTGCATCAGTAAGAAATGAATGAGTTCAGCTTAGGCTAAATTATTTCATGTGCAACTTGTACTGTATAGCTCTGTTTGCCCTTTTGAAATAAAAGAAATTGGCCATGTGTACTTGTCTACAGGCTGGGTTTATACTATATCTGTGTGTGTGTGTGTGTGTGTGTGTGTGTGTGTGTGTGTTCATATTTAATTGGGTGTATGTGTCTGTTTGCAGCCATGTTCCTGCTTGTACGCGCACACGTGTGTTTGTGTGTGTGTGTGTGAGGTTGTGTGGATTATGAGTCACCTAATGGTGTGGCTGAGAGCCTTATCGCAACCCCACAGACACACACACAAACACACCTACACGCTGCCTTGGCAAGTCCAGTGCATGCACTCGAACACACCTAACCTGACCTGCACACATAATCACAAACACTCTCCTCTATTCACACACTGACGCAATTTCCCTTTTTATTCACAAGTATAGATCATATGCAGACACACACACACACACACACACACACAACACATTATAAGCCAAATACACAGCCAGCTGGACTGAGGCTATAGGGTGGGTTTTTGCTTGTTGCCGTAACGATGGCTGATGTGATAAGACCTTCTTCCTCGGCGCCACACTCCAGGGGACCGCAGGGAAGACGTAACCATGGCAACGGCCGGCCCGAGGTGTCACGCTATAATTGGGCCACGGCTGCACTTCCTGTGCGCCTTCAGTCAGGGGGATCGCAGAGGGACTGTGTGTCTGTGTGTGCGTGTGTGTGTGTGTGTGTGTGTGTGTGTGTGTGTGTGTGT